GCTTTCTATGATTGCAACTCTCTTTGGTGTTAAATCAGTATTAAAGGGTCAGTTTAAGTTAATCTAAGTTTTTTGGGATTATTTTTTGGGTATTTTTATTGTAGCATTTCTCATGCAGTGTTTTTCCTTTGCATTTTGTGCATTTCAGCACTTTTATGTATTTTCAGCTGTTTTGAAAATTTTAGTAACCATATAACATAAAAAATGCGATCTACAAATGCCAATACATGTTGCAGATTTATAACCCTGGTGTAGGTTTTGTCCAAAATCCACTTATTAGGTTAAAACTTCTGGAATTCCATTTGTTTCCATTATATAATCCTAATTCTAATTATCTTCTAATGCAACAGCAAAATTAGTGCATTTGACTTAAGTTGGTCGTCTGCATCTAACCTATCCCCTTAGGGAGCAGTGCACTGGACTGTTGGGGGGAATATTCTTAGGCCAGGACGTAAACATCCTGCAAAACTTCATGCCACAAAAATCCTATTTATGCTGATTTTATTTAATTTAGATTATCTGTTCAGCTTCTATTGTCTGTGAAATTCTCTTACTGAGCAGCAGAGGACACCACAGACTGGATCATTTTAAACATGTCTAAAAATCCACTTTTTTAAAAAGAGCTTTTTATTGAACTCTACTCTTTTTCCCTTGCAGTTTTGGTTGTTGTTTGCTTGATTAATAATGTAGCCCTTTAGATTTCATAAATACTAAATACATAAAAATTAAAATGTATCATCATTATTCATCTGTTAAACAATTTTTCTTCCTTTATCTGTGTGCAACTGATTTAATTCACATCAAACTGGCCACTGACTTCCACAAGGAGGCAGTGTCACATTGATTGAACAAGTTCAGCTCTGAGGGGATAAAAGCTAAAAGAATCCAATTTTAAATTATTCATACTGTGAACAGAATTTAGCTGAGAGGAAGGAGAGCAGAGAGTTATTCAGAGAAATGTTTCTGTCCTTCGTGTTGAATAAATAAACCAGCTTTCCTTTAAAAAACAGGAACTGGTGTAAGAAAAAAAGCTCAGAAGAGATCACATAAAAACAACATGAAGATGTTAACATCAATAGAACCAGAAAGTCTCCCTGTAAGGAACATGAGTCATCAATTTTAGATGAGCTCTGCCTTAATTGCTTCGATTCCCAGAAGTTCTGATTTTAATCAGGCGTTAATTCTGAAAATGGAATAAGATGGGCCACATTTTGTCGGTTCTAGAAGCGAAATTAAATGGCACAAGAGTATGATGAAAACAGAAGGAAACAGAAGAATGATTCTGTGAAGAACAGCTATGGAAATATTAGGAAATGAAGACATGAAGTTGATCCAATTGACGTCCAAGTGATCCCTTTACAATTTTACTTCAGTTTAAAGATGTGCATTAAAAATAAAGGATCAAACTTTTAATTTTTCCAACTCTATAATGTGACGTCCTGCTCTCTGTACCTGCTTTACTGTTAACTCTGAGTCATTAGAGGCAGGGATGTTGATTTAATGCAAACTTCTAGCTTTGACATGAAGGCAGTGAGTATTTTTCATGCATTCAGCCAGCTCTTTATCAGGGTCTTCACATCTCTGCTGTAAATACCCTCTTTGCATCCTGCTGCTCCACTGTAACCCTCATCTTCTGTTTTTTCTGCATCACTCCACTTACAGTAATGAGTTGTTGCAGTCTTCCACTTTGCCACAGATCTCACAGAGTATTTTTCTTTTCACATATATTCCAAGGGTGTTCTCTCTTCTTCTCCTTTACATTTTTGGCATTTTCACATCTGCAATGTGAAAGAAAAAATATAACCAAAAGTATCTGGCTTTTGGCTGCTACTGTAAATTAAACCAGTAGTTCAATCTAACCAATGTTGACAAATGGCAGCACTGTAATTTCTTCACAGATGGACTTCAACAGAAATTGCAGCTTAGTGCCCATTTCACAACCAAAACTAAACTAAAATATGAGGTCTCTGACAGAAGGAAGTAGACCAAACGATTATCGAAAAACAGAAATCATCGGCGCACTTTCATCTGGTTTGGTCTGCCGCGTAGACTCGTGAACGCGCTTTTAGG